TCAGATTTTAATGTATATGCAAACGATATCGCTATTTCAAAATCCATTTAACTGTGCAACTGAGGAGTTATCACCTAACCTTCAATTGGAAGTAATTAATCTGCAATGTAATGACATGCTAAAACACAAATCTCAAGAGAAAAATCTAATAAACTTTTAAAAATGCCTTCCAAGCAATGAATATACTCAATAACAATCATGCTGGTGAACTGATAAGAGTTTTCTGCAGGAGCTGCAGTAAAAAGACACCTTTAAAGATGAAATGTATAGAGTCTAATTACAAATCAGCACTAACAGATGAATCTTTGCAATCAATTTTGATAGGGAACACTAACTTTGAACTCCAGTTAAACAAATTATTACCCCAAAAGAAGAATCCCCTCATTCTCACTAGTAAACCTGTACAACAAAAAACTCAATTATATGTTAAATTTTGTCAATAAAAATGCTGTGGAAATTTGTTTTCTCCCACTTGTTATATCAGTAGCTACATTCTACCCTCAATTTTGCTTTTGGCTTGCAAAGCCTATCCTTCACAGAAAATATTTACTGACTCCTGATCTAGAGAATAAAACAAAAAAGCAGGAGAAAGAGAAAACCTGATCCAGAAGAAGCAAATACAATTCAAGGGAAAGAAAAGAGCACAAAAATTTTTAAATAAACACACAAAGATATCAGGATGGTATATATATATTTTTTGCGGTACGCGGGCCTCTCACTGTTGTGGCCTCTCCCGTCCCGGAGCACAGGCTCCGGACGCGCAGGCTCAGCGGCCATGGCTCACGGGCCCAGCCGCTCCGCGGCATGTGGGATCTTCCTGGACCAGGGCACGAACCCGTGTCCCCTGCATCGGCAGGCGGACTCTCAACCACTGCGCCACCAGGGAAGCCCCAAGATGGTATATTTTTTAAAAATGCTAGAAAGCTAAAACAACAGAACAAGAAAGAACTCTTGATAATTATGATTTACGAAATGAAGATAAATAGAAATAGAGGAAATGTCTTAGAATATAAAGAAAAAAGGCAAAGAGAATAAAAATAAAAGACATTCCTTGTACCTGAAGGGTATGAGTAACCACTCTCACCAAACACTTAAGCACAATGAATGAAAAAAGATTCACAGTCTCTAACAACACCAAGAATAAAGAGAAAACTCTAAAAGCTTCCAGGGAGAACAGGATACTTAACAAAGTAACTAGAATTAGATTGCCAAGACTTCACACTAGCAACACTGGACAGTAGAAGAAAATTAAGCAATAAATTCAAGCCTAATTCTATTTCAGCCAAATTACCTACCAGCTATGAGAATAAAGTCAAGGTATTTTCAGAAATGTTACAAGAACTCAAAAGTTTAATTCCATGCATTACTATATAACAATGTATGCCAGCTAAATGAGAAAACAAGTTAGAAAATGGTGCTTAAAAAAAAAGGAAAGGATGTAATTCACAATAGCCTCATCAGACACCTAGCAATAAATCTAACAAAAAGTATGTAAGATGGAAGACATCTACAAAGAAAATTCTAAAACATTGCTGAGATAAATTAAAGAGGAGTTAAAGACTGGACAATCCAATATTCTAAAGATGTCAATTCTCTCCCAAATGACCTGAAGATTCAATGCATTCCAAAGTGAAAATCCCAACAGGATTTTCTGTGGAACTTGACAAACTCTTTCTAAAGTTTATATGGCAATGCAAAGGGCTAAGAATAGCTGAGAAGGTTAAAGAAGAAAAGCAACGTGAGAGGACTTGCTTATCTGATATCTAAACTTATTATAATAAAACTGTAATAATCAACACAGTGAGGTCTTGGGGGAAGGGACAGACATATAAACCAGCAGATGAGAAGAGAGAGTCCAGAAACGGACACATCAGAACACAAACACTTGATTTTTGACACCAATGACACTACAGATTCATGGGGGAAAAGACAGCTCTTTCCCCCCAGTGAATGGTTCTGGAACAATTGGGTATGATAATGAAAAAAAAGTAAAACGAAATTTGTCCCCTCTACCTCATAGTATACACAAAAATCAATTCTGGGTGATTATAAACATAAATGGAAAAGAAAAACAACAAAACTTCTAGAAGACACTGTAGGGA